ATTAATAATACTTATACTTACAAGCTGAAGCAGTGGTACCACCTTCATTATGCTTCTTATAATCCTGTTATAAAATAACAATCAATGTTAATATTTAATGCAATGGTATTTACTGATTAACAATGTCTTTACATCACATTTTATTGAATGTAGCGTAGTTGGTTCGTATCACTTCAGTTATTATTCGTCTTAATTTATTAATATCAACTGATGGAGGGGGAGGAGCAACAGCAGGAGGGCCTGTAATATAAGAAGACATTAATAATTATAGTATCTCATATTTTGGTACTGTACTATAGTACAGGGTATTTCGTCAGAAATGACTAGAAGAGAATTCCCCATTTTTATAACTTTTTCTGATACACATACATGTTCTTATGTTGTGTAGAAAGTTTGAGCTGATTTCGATCAAAATTGGATTTTTTACAAATTTTTAACGATAGCCAAAAATCAGGCAAAAATCCCTGTACTGTAGTACAGGGTCACGCCCAAATTTTGTCAAAATTGAAAAGTAGAGAATTCTCCATTTTTATTACATTTTTAAATACCGTATAAAATGAAATGTTGATGGGGATTTAATATTGGCAGATTGACTGATTTATATAAAAACGCCAAAATAAAATCCGCAAGCAATAATTCCATTCATGCGTGTGACGACACTCACATTAATTTTAGTTAAAAGCATGGTTAAAAGCAGCTTACTATGTTTCTTTAAGCCAGTCTCTAAACCAGGTGATAAAGAATACAATCTTCCAGAAAAGGTACAGTCTTTCTCTGATAATAATGTTCTCCACGAACCACAACCGCTTAAGTAAAACCCCGCCTAAGGGTAGGGATATAATTAAATTGTTAGAATCCGCCAATAAGCTAGCCATCACAAAACCGCCAAAGAAAACTCCCACCAACAAATCATCTTATACGGTATATATACATGTTCTTGTGTTGTGTAGAAAGTTTGAGCTAATTTCGATCAAGTTTAAAATTTTTTACAAATTTTTTAAAGTTATTCCGAAATCGGGTAAAAGTCCCTGTGCTATAGTACAGGGTCACGGGCCAAATTTCGCCAAAAATGAAAAGGAGAAAATTCTTCATTTTTATTACATTTCCTGATGCATATACATGTACTTATGTTGTGTAGAAAGTTTGAGCTAATTTCGATCAAGTTTAAAATTTTTACAAATTTTTTAAAGTTATTCCGAAATCGGGTAAAAGTCCCTGTGCTATAGTAAGGGTCACGGGCCAAATTTCGCCAAAAATGAAAAGGAGAAAATTCTTCATTTTTATTACATTTCCTGATGCATATACATGTTCTTATGTTGTGTAGAAAGTTTGAGCTAATTTCGATCAAAATTGGATTTTTACAAAAAATGGAGT